AACTGAATTACCCCTGAAAAATGACAAGGGTAATTTGGTCATTTTAAATTATTGTAAATACTTTTTTTTATATTTTTATATGGTGCAAAATAGTGTTAGGTATATACACCCCAAATTTCATCTTAATCCGATTTCTAGAAACAATATTAAAATTCATAAAATGATATACATTTTGAACTACATAATAAAAATATGACGGCTGTGAATCTACTTGTATTATTATTTCATTATAGCTATTATAAAGTTTATTCTTAACCTGAATAATGATAGTTTTGGAATTCTTAATTAAATTTTTTGAGGGAGTGCTTTTATGAAATGACGTGTATTGAAAAGTACATCCATAATTTCCTTTGTGCATTTGATTAATTTTTTTTTATGAGATTGCCTCAAAACCTCATCTTCCACACACACATATTAGAAAATTACTGCTGTTAAAAAGTAAAGTCTAATGTTGAATAGTATATTTTGACCTTTGTAATGATTTTATAAGGGATGCTAACTCCTTAAATGATATTTTTCTCTTTTGTATCTATTGAGGTCAATTTTTTTATGCTGGATGTAGACTAAAACAATTACATGTAAATCTTTTTTAACGCTTTGTAAAATACCTTATTTATTGTGGTATTTAAAATACTCCTGAATTTTAATAATTTAAGTTCATGTACCTTTTTCCCTCTCTTTTTTTTTTTTCCAAAATATCCTCTCGTTCTGCACAGGGTTCTTTATTAAAAGATGAGTTTGGAACTTGAAGTGCATGTAGTCGCCCTACTTCAGCTAACAAATTTCCTACACGCACCCTATACGTGTGGGATTTAGACTTAGTCGCCTCCCCTAAACCATCATAGAACTAGAGCCTTGTTTTTGCGTCCTGAAAATACCATGTTCCTACCTAAAACCAAATTAGGGACCATACAAAGTTAAATGGTCTGTAATCCACCTAATCCCATGCTCCATGCACCTTAATCAACATACCTCAAATGCCATTGAGCTGATCGTGCATTCTTGATTTGATCTATTTCTAACTCTGAGTGTCAGGTTTGTGGGCCTAACATGATCTATTTTTAACTTTGAATGTCAGGTTTGTGGGCCTAACATGATCAAGTAGTCATTCTTAATCTCCTTTATCTTTGATTTCCTTTTCATCTCGGTCATTTGCATGTCCTATTTTGCCTTCTTTTGAAGTCCAAGCGTTTTTTCATACTTTTAAAAGTCAAGTTTGGCGAACCGCTAGATGCTGGACCATAGAGGATAGGACTTGAGCCCTATCCTTTGTAGTCTCTAATTTGAGAGAACTCATTTTTTCATGGTTTTCATATAATCTCGTTTCGGTGCAAATAAAGGTGAAGGAGGCTCTTATTCCTCTCACCTCAGATTTATGCAAATAAAATTTCTGAACTAACTTGTTCATATATTATCTGATTCCAAACGCCAAGTTTCGAACTCCTCATTCACAAATAAAAAAAGACGAGCCGGCTGTTCGGCACAAAAATTTCCTAATATGTGGACTTCTCTGTTTATTAGAGTGAAGGAGGGAGCTCTCATTGACAAAGAAAGACGAGTGTGTAGAGGTTTATTTTTAGGGTGAAGACTAGTATGGAATTTCAAGTTCCGAACCATTGGTTTATAAAATTGTTGGTTTGGAACTTCAAGTTCTGAGTTGATCTCCCAGTCAAAAACAAAATAAACAAGTGAACCGAAAGCATTTTATGATTAATGAAAGAGAGAAAGAAAGAGACATGAGCACAATGTAACTCGTTTTTCAATTACGCCAATTATAGGACCTAATAGTTTTGGATGGTATGGTCCCTACCTGGTCCCCCACTCCACCCATAAATTGCCACCG